CAAATTCGTAAAAAATAAAACACTAAAAGCTCAAAAGATTTTTTCAAGTTCATCCAGCAATAGAACACTAGACTCCTTTAAATTTATCCGAAAATGAAACATCAGGAGGCCTAAAATTAACTGCGAACATTTTTAGTGTTTTGAAAACTTTGACGATTTTTGATACATCAAACATTTTTAACTGCTTACTCGATTTTTGCTGATTTGTACCTTCGCTTTATATCAGGCAAACATTGGTGTCAAATGGAATTTTATCAAATTATTACAAAGTTAATCCGCCATTTTCCAGACATTCTGACCCAAGTAGAATAATAGTTAGAAGAAATGGATGTGGATAGCTTAAGAAAACTATATCAATAAAGATTATACCAAGAGTTGATCAACAAAGAATTCAAAAATATGTCAAAGAAAAACAAAATGATGGTGGAAACAAATCACGAAATAAACTAAAAGAGGCAAGCGCACCTGAAAAGAGATCAACAGAAAAATTTGATCTAAAGTTATTTAGGCAGAACTTCCCTTGGCGCTGGAGTACAAACAACAAATCTAGTTGTTCGAGCAATAAAAATAAAAAATATAGATAATACCAGTCACCAGACCTTACTGAAAGAGAAAGACAGATACAAAAAGTAATAAAAGAAATAAGAGATGAAGAAAAGAAAAAGAACTCAAATGTAAAAAGGGGATATCAGAGGCTGTTTGTGGAGGGAAAGAAATACATATGGAATAAAGAGAAAAAGTGCCTGGAAGACAATACAGGTAAAATAATAACCACTCCAAAAAACTAAGAAAAGAGAGGGCTACGGAGAAGATAAGGGCAACGACACGGCGAGATTATGGCATATGGAAACTGGGAGTATGGAATACAAGAAGTCTGAATGGGAAGGAAAATGAGATTATTTATGAATTCAACAAAACAAACCTAGACATACTAGTACTGACAGAAACGAAGAAGAAAGGAAACGGAGAAATTAAAACAGAAGATGGACACATACTAATATACCAGGGAGTAGAACATAATAAAAGAGCAACAGAAGGAGTAGGTTGTATAGTAAACAAAAAATTAGCAAAGAATATCACAAGCTGGAAAGGATGGACAGAAAGATTGCTAACTTTAGAACTAACTATCGGGAAACAAAAAACCACTGTTATAGCGGCGTACGGACCGAACGAAAACGAGAAAAAAGAAGTAAAAGACAAATTCTGGGAGGACTTAACAATTGTTACAAAGGCCAGCACGGGAGAAATATTGGTAGCAGGAGATCTCAATGCAAGAGTAGGAATAAGGAAGAACGAGGCAAAAAAGGTTATAGGAAGACATGGTGAAATAACGAGAAATTACAATGGAAAAAGAATGATAGAATACTGCACAAGCAATAATCTAATTATAACCAATACCTTCTACGAGCACAAAGATATACATAAATACACGCGAGTAGTAGCAAACAGGAACGAAAAATCTATTATTGACTATATATTGGTTGAAAAGAGTAATAGAACGGCGATTAAAGATGTAAGAGTTATGAGAGGAGCAGAGATAGACAGCGATCATTTTCTACTAGTAGGGAAAATTAAACAACACAACAAAGATGAGAATGAAGGAAAACACGACCACAGAACCGAACAACAAGAAACATTAAAAGCATACAGATTACAAGAACAAGAAGTAGCAGAGAAATATGAAGAAGCAATCAACAAAGAAATACAAAAAAGACAAGACAACATGAAAAGTATGTCCACCGAACAAATGTGGCAAGAATTAAAGAGAATAATGACAACAGCAGTAAGAGACGTATGTGGAGTGAGCAAAATGAATAGGAAAAACAGAAGAACAGCATGGTGGAGTGAGGAAATACAAAACCAAATAAAAATGAAAAAGAAGAGGTGGAAAGAATATCTGACAAAAAGAACAGAAGAAAAATACAACAAATACAAGCAGCAAAGAAATATAGTAAAGAACATGGTGAAGGAAGCCAAAAACAAAGCCTGGCAAGAATTTGGAGAAAAACTTGAAACTAACAGCAAAACCAACCAGAAACTTTTCTACAAAGTACTAAAGACACCAAGGAAAGGAAAAACAGCAAGAGCTGAAACTATTAAAGGAGTAGATGGAAACATAATAACGAAAACAGAGGAAGTAATGGAAAGATGGCGGCAGTATTTCCAAGAACTATTAGGGGCTAAAGCAAACAAGAGAAATACAGACAAAGTAGAAGAAAGAGGCATAGATGAACTGAGAGAAGACCAAGAAGAAGAAAGTATAACCCTACACCGAAAGGTAGATGGGAGTTGATTATATATATATATATATATATACCAGTCACAGCGTAAGAAAAAAAAAAGACCCATGGGGAGATCAAACCGATTGCCCTTATACTGGTATAAAATGTTATATAATTTGGATTTTTTTTAACAAACTCTAGACACCTGAGGCAAAAAACTTAAGGCGGATTCATGAATAACAAGTACAAGAACATGTTATTTTATAAAATTTGAATAACATTTACCAAGCAAAATTTTGAAATAACGTCGTCAAATTGTTATTGCTGGGGACTTGGAATTTTGGTTAGCTTTTAACCGTTTACACTGTATCTATAACATAAATATAAAATTGGACCACAATTGATCTGGTAGTTTCGGAAAACATCTGCGTGATAAATTTGAACACAGACGACAGATGACAGATAGATGACATACAGACCACAGATATTTGACATACAAATGACAGATGGACAGACGGAAACGAGAGACCTATTTTTTCAAACTTGGGGTCATGATACATCGAGAAAGCAATCATGAAAGTAGCCATTCGCCCGATAGCCCTTATTACAATACTTCCTTAGCTTATGTTCGGGAAGTAAAAACAGTGAAAGCGGAAAAACTTTAGAAGAAAAGTAAGAAAATTAGTCACACAACAAGAAGATGATAGAAGACCACTGAAACCTGGAAACTCGTACGACATATACGATGAGGGAAGAAAATTAGTTCTCACTACATCTCGTTTGACAACAGGAAGAATCTTATAAAAACCAACTGTTGGTGAAAAAACTGAAATTTGTGAATGAAAATACATAAGAATAATCAAGCATATAAAAAGTGGAATAATAGAACTAATATTGAAAAGGGTAAAGAAATCATTTATAAGTTTAAATAACAGAAAGCAGAGTTAATGAAAAAATTGGTTGAAGTTTATTCCGATAGAACTTTCCTAGCCCTTGAAGTATAGCGCAACAAATCCAGCTTTTTTGAAAAATTATAAAATCCGATCCTGCGTTTTTTGCTTTGTGATCACACAAGTGCGGACGATATAAAGTATATTTAAACCAAATGACAAAAAAAACTCTTAGTAGTATGCTTAACTTCGAGTGTTTATGTTTATACTTTGAAGGAACTCGACTATGAATACGTTACCATTACAAGCACCAGCGGCCGCTTGCATTTCTGTTAAAAGAAAATTAAATTTGATTTTGTTTTCTTAAAGCAGAGGAGCGTACAGATTATTTAAGCAATAATGGAACAAATCGACCCGAATATTATTTTGGGTGAGGGGCTGTTATTGTAATAATAATTATTTTACTATTATTGAATATAGGCGGGCGCGACATTAGTGTAATTTATGAAAAAAATGGGGTAAGCTGTCTTTGATTTGTTTAAAAAAAATGTCAACGAAGATGAGAATCGGATTCACTCGTGCAGACCTCACGGAAATATCAAATTACTCAGATCTGGCGCCGCAACACATACGCTCACAACGCACTTGGTTTGCACGTGCGCAAGATATCGGTGTACAACACGGAATGATTATTACATTTATTACACAAATTTTGGTTAATGTTTTAGCACGTACATGATATTTCTAATGTATAAATATATACAGAATTTGACAACAATCGATCCAGTAGTTTCGGAGACTATCTTTCTAATAAAAATCCAGACAGACAGACAGACAAAACCGGGAGACTTATTTTTTCGTACTCTGGGGCTCATAAGACGTCCAAAAAATATTAAAATAGTCAAACACTCGATGGTCGCGATTAAAGTACCTCCTTAGTTTACGCTGGTGAAATAAAAACCGAGTAATTATTAAGAACGATAACATAGCTATTTACGAAGTGTATAAACGAAGAATCATCTCTGGAAGGAATGTCGTCAATCTATAAAATAGGAGAGAAACAAAAATGCGAGAACTATGGTGGTATTAGATTCATGGTAAGAATTCTTGTTTTTTTATAGAACAAAAATACGAAGGAAAACAAGAGGAACATAATTTTATACAGACGATACGGTGGAATATCGAAAAATCAACAAGTTAGTAGCAAATGAACCAGGATTAGAAATAGCCAACATTAAAAAAATAGTCATAGAAAACATCACGTAGAAACAAATTATTTGTAATTTTTATGAAAGCTTCAATTTCGTTAAGAGTTAAAGAATTCGCCAACACTGCAGATTACCCAAAACATACGTGAGAACAGTGCAAAATTTTGTCATTGCATAAATGAATCAGGGATGTTAGGAGTTATTTTTAATATGTAGATTGTTATTATTATATTTCTTATTATAATTATACAGGGTCATTATAAAATATTGTAGTCAACTCACCTATGAAAAACAAATGAAATTTTTCTCGTGCCGCTAATCACCAAAATGATTTGAACTGTTTTGAAATGTCACGAACGTCCAAACAAATCTGTCAGATGTGTCAAAAATTGAAATGCCCGGTTCGCGGTTTAATTTCATTTTAAATAGACACGAGAAGACGCCAGGCCAGAGCATTAAGGGTTGCAGTGTTATCGAGCATTTGTGAACGCCACTGCAATACATTTCAGTTTCAAAAATTGTAAATTGTCAGAAAAACGTTTAAGGGCTTTGTCATGAATTACACCTTGGAAAGTCGATTGGAGTTGAACAGAATAAATCATCTGGTCTGTTTTGCAAAGAAGCAATAATTTTTCAAATAATGAAATCCAAAAAGTGAGGTTAAGTTTGTCGAAACCAATGAACACGGTAATTATTTAAAAAATTACATTTTTATAGGTACCCTGAAGGTAAAAATTGTGAAAAATCACGTAATGGACAATGGCAGAGCAAGTCTTATCACAGTTAACGAACACTATGAGTACCTAATGAGTTTTTGCAGTAAATAATTTTGCCAAAGTTGTGATCCCGCGAAAGTTCTGTTTGTAAATTGTAAGGAATCGTCAAAATATTGGTGCAGACATGGTTTGTGACCGGTGCTTTTCTCTTGAAAAAACACAACTGAAAGCCTTGATCTTCATCCCTACAATAGGTGAAAACTGCTATGTCCAAACATTACCTTCAGCTTTGCAGTTTCTAGATATCTGAAACATGCCAGATCTGCATAACAGGAATGTCAAAGAGGTTCTACCCAAAACACGCCCACATGGCCATCCTAATATCAAGATTTTTCAAAATTTCTATAACAAAAAAAGATGAAAAAATCAATAAAATTTCAGGAGCATAGTGTTAAGAGTTCTGTAGATGATTATGAGATCTCTTGAAACAACAGAATGTTTAATAAAGATTTTTAACTTTCCTAATAGTAAAATTACAATTATTACTAAACAGTAAGTTGAAGTAAGTTTTAAATTAAGAGAATGCAACTAACACCGAAAGAAAAATGAAAGTTACTGAAAATAAAAAACTTTATTGCAGTACCTACATACACTTTCTACATCTAATTTTGTTTATTGATCACATTCATTTACTTGAAAAAGTATCAGGCCTATGAATCGTCGTCTGGAAACAGCTAACCACACACCAACCTTCATTGCGTGTGATGGTGTTTCTTCAAAAGCGTGAGTATTTTCTATACACCAAATTCTGAAGTTCTGTCAGTTGACATAATAGCCTAACAGATGAAACCAGGCTTCATCAGAAAAGAACGACAAATCGAGAATCCCGTTATCGTCCATATCAGCTTGAAACCAACTACAATACCCAACGCGGCAAGGAAAATCAGCTGGTTGCAGCTCCTGAACCAACAAAATCTTGTATGGATGCATATGTAACTTCTCTTTTACGATTTTCTGACATGGGCTGTATGGTACTCCGGACAGTAAAGATTTTTGACAAAGCTTTATTCGGACTTTGTTCCATTCTCATCCTTAAATCTTCAACAACGTCTTCACTAACTTGAGGTCTCCCCGTCGGTTTTCACTTAGAAATGCTACCAGTGTCGTTAAATCTGGCCATAATTCGCCGTATAGCGTCTTCAAAGATTCTTCATCAATGACAACAGAACATTTCACTAGATACTCGTTTTTAGACGCCTCCACAGAGTACACTCCATCCCCATCCTCATTTAACACCCCATTACGGTAATAGGCATGATGATTGCGCCAAAGAACTAAAAAAATCATTTGTAACACTGACCATAGCTATTCCTCTGTGTTCATTACCTGAGATTATTTCACAATGATCTGTAGTTTTGATAAAAACTGTTTTTTGAGACACTTATTAAAGTTCTAACAAAGGGGAAGACAGCACAAATGAAAACAAGACAAGTCAATTAACGCACAAAGTGAGGGAAAACGTACCAGTACAAACGAAAAAATTATTGACATCTGACAGCATTTGATGAAGCGTTGAAACAGTGCAGCCGTTAATGTCAACTAATGTGGCGTAAAAAATAAAAATTCCAATATTAGTGTAATCCTTTCCACAAAACTGAAAAAGGCGGCACAAAATGTCACCAAAATCATGGCCTTCTTCGACTACAATATTTTATAATGACCCTGTACTTATAAGCAGAGTTAGGCACAGCCGAAGTGAAATGATGTAAAACAGGCATTTTTGATTTTTAAAGCATTTTAACATCTAAAAGAACTCGTATACCTGAGGAAAACCTAGAAAAAGAAGTAATTGTCATTAAGAATCCCAGAAGTTGTAGGCCACGACTGCAATAGCGCTGGCGATCGGACGGCAATGAGCATCACTTCCGCGAGGCCGAAGTCTGGCAAACAATAGTGATTGTAAGAAGACCAATTTTATTTTTCTTCAGCCTGAAAGCACCAACCCCGCAAGACTGGATTTTGTCTAGCATCTAAATATCACGCCAGAGGTAACACTGAATGAAACCAAGATTTAAAGGTGCTTGTTTCGCGGAAAATGGCAACGTTTGTCGTTTATTGCATATATTTTTTATCCATACAGAAAGCGAAGTCAAGCAATTTTACGCGCTATTTTAAAAGCGATGTTTTCCTCGCATGCATGACTTTATTTCGCGTGCTCTTGCAAAACTTGCTGAAAGTATTCCTTGACATTTCGCATGAATATTACATTGAAATACATGAGCATTGAAGACAGAATATTATCACGTATCGGTTTTTTTTATTCATCGTTACCTGCAGGTTTACTCGTCTGGCTGTCACAGCAGCTTCATTACAAACACTGTTTATTTTATTTTTTGTTGTAGCATTATTATTTTAATTGTCGAAGTCTGTAAAAATCACTCATTTATTTAGAAAAAGTTGAAATGAGAACCAGAATAGAATTATAAATCGGGGTGTTGTGAAACATGTATTATCAGCGAAAAATTGGGGTTTGAAATCGCCTCGAGGTATATTTTTGTGTTGACCGTCGAAAAAGCGCGTAGACAAACATTGACACAGTGTTAATTATTTTATTTTCTTATGCGAACGTTTTTATGCTTCGCAAATATGATTATAAATTCCATTTTTCCCACACTCGTCCACGATCTAGCGTAAAAATCCATGAATGAACCGTCCTCCCTCCCCTCCACGTCACACAGCTCCGGATACTCCTCACCACATGTCACAAATGTGGCACTTGACTAGAAATATCTTTAAAAGTGTTTTGGTTACTTAAAAATGCTTTCAGACCGAAGCTGTGCACTAGCAGATAGTACTCGAGTGCTGATCTGTGTTTTGTCATAAAGTCGATTCTTGCAGCTTTTATGCTTGTGCCGCTGCAACCGACATAAAGATATCCTCGAACAAATTTCAGATTATGGTACATTGTAAGCGATGATAATATTAATGGACAGGTAGACGCGAGTACACAAATAAAATTCCGGTTATACGATCCAGACGTTCATTAATCATTAAAAGTCAATCTGTTTTCTTTCAGTTTTGATAAGCTGCAGCAGAATGCGTGGCAAGTGGCAAAGCGTTAAAAGCACGGTTTGTGTGTGTTAAGTCGACGGTGTGACACTGTCAGTGTAAACTCAAATTATGACGGGATGTTTGAGTACTAAACGTTTATAGCTGCTTAACGTGCTCTAAAGGCAAATTGTGATGAAATCTGCGCTTTTTTAAACATGCGTGAGAAGAGGAAACATGGCAAGGATGATTGCCTGGAAGCAACGAACAGAGAAATAAAATGTAAACCGAAGATTAGCGTTTCGTTGTGAAGCTTATAATGTACAAAACTTGAACGAAATTATTTTAATCACATGTAAAATGTGTCCTTCTAGTTCTAAGAGTCTAGAACTGTACCTAGTTATTATTGTATGACATTTCTAGTTCACCGAACGAAACTATTAATTATTACATATCGACTTCTGTTCCACTTCTTATCACGTATTGGATAACAATTACCAATCAATATTCCCACTTAATCTAAGCCAAAAATTATTAAATTATTAAACCCACACTTGACCTAATATCAGCCATCCTGTTATCTCCTTAAACACAAATTCTTCCTCGGCGCTTCAATCATCATTACCGTTAACATGAAGCTTTGAGCTTATGAATGACTAATGAGAAAATTACATGGCACATATTTGGCTCGTCTAAAGCAGAACTTTAGTAGCGTGCTTGTTACGCGAAGCTTTCACAATTTAGGAATTCTCAAGCATCCATAAAATATTCACAAGCTCCGAGTAATGCTTAAAAAGATGCACTTTTCGTCCAAATTTCCTCCCTACGCGGTTCATAAAAGAATCATGCAAATATTTAAATTCGGTTTGGAATTAGTTCGGTAAATAATACATGCCGACCTAATACAATATCTGTGTTACAAGAAAGCAAAACGGTGGATTAAACGAGGTATTAGACATCTGTCAATTCCTACATCACTTATTCATAAGCAGAAACAAAGCTTTCACGGCAATAATACCGCAACGGACCCTGCAACCCCAACCCCATATACGCTGCTTGTAAATACACGAAAATCCTATCGGTGCAACGATCAATGCGTGTATGTAATGAATAAATTGCGTAATTGTTGGATAACGTGCGTTATTTATTAAACGGGTAATTGTGGGGATGGCTTCCTTAGGGGTTTCATAAGCGGATTAATTAGTCAGTACACTTTGCGGGAAAAATGCGATTTGGCTGATTTATTGTATCGTGCAAGCAGTTTAGTGTACAATTTGAACGCTCTCGGTGTATAAATACACGAACCCTTCTTTATGAGAAAAGTGTGGCTTTAAATATTGGGGAATCAAGATTTGTAATTAGATGGTCCTTGGAAAGGATTTGGCATGTCGGTGGTTAAAATACAGAGATACATTTTTAATGAAATAAGTGTAAAGATTAATTAATTTTATTAATTAAAGAAACCAAATTACAGTAAATGCTGAAAATGTTGCCGATTTTGTTGTAAGGATAAATGAGATCACGTACCTTAACATCTCTGCATTGTTTATTTCGTTAATTTCTTCTGGTCACTTCAATTCTTGCAAATGACAGGTGTTCGATAAAGATATTATCAAGAACTTTGGCAGATTTTACACAACTTAACGCTGATGAAATGGAAGTAGGTTATTTCCAACAAGATGGGGCTACAGCACCTTTTTTGACAACCGGACAGAGAATATCCGGCCCCCGAGATTTTTTAGTTTTATTCCTGGTAATCTTTTTTGTGATCGTATTTACGAAACACTACTAATTGAACACCTGTCAACAATTTGGACAAATTAAGGTTAACAATAATAGAAGAAATTAATGACATAAACAATAATGCCGAGATGTTGATCGATGACGTTAGAATCATGACCCGACAAAATAGTCCCTACAAAATAGCTTCACGACGAAAGAACTCCCGTCAAAACAGCCCCGTCAAAATAGCCAGCGATATGAAATTTTTGTAGATCAGGTCAGATCACATTAGGTCAGGTCAGGTTAGGTCAGGTCAGGTCAGCTCAGGTTAGGTCAGGTCAGATCAGGTCAGATCAGGTCAGGTCAGATCAGATCAGATCAGGTCATGTCATAAATATCTACCTGCTTAAGATTACTGGCCTGATCAAATGCTAGGAGAAAAATCTTTTAGCAATAAGAAAATGCAAATAATTCAAGTTATCTATAAAATATACAGCCTGTTATTGAAAGGTACGTACAAAATAAAATCGGCAATTGGTCTCGAAGTATAGGTGCTAAAAGTAAAAAAAAGTTCAGGTAAAAGTGTTCTTTTAGAGATAAAAATTATTAAAATTTATGTCCAAATTCCTTGTACGCCTCTGATAAAAAGATCATCTTTCGTTTCTATATTTAGTCTTGACAAAAGTTTTATTGTTACAGTTGCTAGGATTTACAAAAATAAATTAATTTTATCTATTTAGCCTTCAGTAGCGTCTAGAAAGGTTGGATAAGGGTTAATTTTCCGTTTATAATTTTGATAACACAAAATAAATTTTTCAGACTTCTTAGACTTCGCGAATAACTGTCAATTTTGTTGTACGTACCTTTCAATAACACCCTGTATAAATATAAAACTTGTCAAAGTTTTCAAAACCATACGTTTAAAATGTTCGCAGTTAATTTTAGGTCCCGTGGTATTTTATTTTCGGATACATTTAAAGGAATCTGGTATTTTGTTTCTCAATGAAGTTGGAAACTCTTTTGAGCTTTTAGTGTTTTATTTTTTATGAATTTGAAAAAGTCTTCAGTGCTGCAGTGTTTTTGCTTTTAATTCGGGAGACTCTTGAGTACCCATGATGTATTGTTTTGGGAGCTTTTTTTTGTAATTTATTTAAAACAATTTTGGGGGACTTTGGTGTTCCATTTTTTGAAAATTCTGCCTGACCTACCTGTTTTTGAGTTAATTTTGGGCCCCGTGTTTTTTTTTTAATTTAAAACAATTTTGAGCGTCTAGTTATGCATATTTGGAAAG